ATATTAGTAGTAGTGGATCGATTGTCCAAGTATGGTCACTTTGGACCATTACCAGCAACATATACTGCAGCAACAGTAGCCAGTCTATTCTGTGATATGGTGGTGAAGCACCATGGTTTCCCTAGGTCCTTGGTTTCTGATAGGGATCCGATCTTTATGAGTAAGTTTTGGCAGCACCTATTTCGTTTGAGTGGGACTAAGCTCCTTGCTAGTTCATCATACCACCCATAGACGAATGGACAATCGGAGGTAACAAACAATTACCTTGAACAATACTTACGGGCATTTTGTTTTGAACAGAACACTAGATGGTCTCAATGGCTATGCTGGGCTGAATTGCACTATAATACTTCAGTGCATTCTGCAATCCAAATGTCTCCATTTCAAGAAGTATATGGAAAGCTGCCAACCCTCATCACTCAGTATCACAAGGACACCGTCCAAATTGAAGCAGTAGATATGATGTTGCAGCAGCGAGGAAAAGTATTAGCCTTACTTAAGGTACAGTTACAAAGAGCACAACAAAGAATGAAGAATCAAGCTGATCGCCATCGTCAGGAACGTTCGTTTCAGGTGGGAGATCGTGTCTTAATCAAACTCCAACCTTATTGTCAAGTATCAGTAGAAAAATGTGCCAATCACAAACTGGCCAAACGTTTTTTTGGTCTATACACAATAGAGCAGGTCATCAGTCCGGTTGCTTACAAGGTTAACCTTCCAGAAGGGAGTTTAATTCATCCCATCTTCCATATTTCTGTCTTGAAACCATTTTATGGTTCTTCAAGTATATCCTTTGAATCCTTACCAGCAGACAACATTGATAATAGACCTGTCCAGGTTCCTATAGCTATTTTAGCTTCACGACAGATCACAGTTGGTGGCAAGCTCATACTTCAAAAACTGGTGCAATGGTCCATGACAGTTCCGGAGGACGCTACATGGGAAAATGCTGAGGATTTGCATCAAGCCTATCCTAACCTTGAGGACAAGGTGACTTTCGAAGGAGAGGAAGATGTTAGAGACAGAGGAGAACAGGAACGTAGGAGTAGGAGAATAAAAAGGGCTCCTTTGTGGGCTGTGGATCATGTTAGATAGTTGTACAATTAATGGGCCTTGATCCATGATATTAATAGGACAAATAATAGTTAGTTGTTCTGATGTAGTTAGTTGCTTACGTGGCAGCTTATGTTTTGTAATAATAAATAGTAGAAACCATCGTGTAATGGAGGATTATTGATCATTGAATAACAAGTAGTTTTGCAGTTACTTTCTGTTACAGAGACCCACTTCTGTATCAAATATCATATCCCTTATTTTTATGTCATTTATAAAACTTTCAAAATATAGTTGAAATAACTAAAAAATAATATATATATATATATATATATATATATATATATATATATATATTAGAGATCTTTACGTTAAAATGATTTTATCTAAAGTTTATTCCTAACAAAAAACATTACCCAATCCCACATAAAGGACGTTCATAGCATCAACTTAACACCAGAGATATAAGACCCATAATCCATAGCTAAATAGTTCAATGGATTACGAGAGTCAATGTAAGTTAGTGCTATCATTGACACCAATAAGACCACTATTAAAGTTAAAAACCTTTTGTATCCACAAACAAATGGGTTAAAAACCTTCGATTTCTTCCTAAGCTAAGTAATATTTTTTTAAATATATATATATATATATGGAAAAATATTTCTGCAGCCACTTTAGATAAGGTTGTCTATAGCTACTCCTTTTTAATTAAGTACGACCGGTCGTACATTAAAAGTGCATTTTCTCTCTCCTCCACATCAGCCGACAGTGTTTGAGGAGAGAGAAAAAAAAAGCAGTTTTATTGTTATAACTAAGTACGACCGGTCGTACTTAGTTAAAAAAGGGTAGCTGTAGATAACCTTATCTAAAGTGGCTGTAGAAATACTTTTCCTATATATATATATATATATATATATATATATATATATATATCACTCTATTTTGAATTCAAGAGAGGACCTATGACGGAAGTGTAGGTCTTAGAGAAAGTTCACAGGTCTCACCGAGAGTGAGAGGAAGTGAACAGAGACGAGTAAAGAAGAGTGCAATGATGATATATCAAATGTTTGATCTTCCATTCATGACTTATTTATACCCCTTATGCATATACTTACCCCATTATTTTAACAAAAACAAATTCTCATTTTTTTTCTATTGTGTAAGGTTAAGATATGTCATGAATACGAATATACTTGGCATGAACATAATATTGGGCGAACAACCCAACTCTTGGAACATATTATAGCCTCAAGTGGCGAAGAGCCGACATCGAAGTGCTAAACTTTCCCGTCGATGAATAAAGATTTGTTTTAAAATATTTTATAAGAATACAACTTGTTTATTTGCGAGTTGAAATAAAACAAATAACAAATCAATCTCAAAGTACCATATTTATTACAAGGATTAACACAACATGACTCGAACAACTCGTCAAACTAAGTTTTATACTTACAAAAAAAAAAAAGCATCATTCACAACATATATTATTTCGTTCGTGTCGTGTCATAGTAAGTATAAAACTTAGTTTGACGAGTTGTTCGAGTCATGTTGTGTTAATCCTTGTAATAAATATGGTACTTTGAGATTGATTTGTTATTTGTTTTACTTTTACTCATGTCATGTTGATACCACACAAAAAACTTAGAAGACTAATATAGGTCACTATCCTATTTGTGGATTCACATACAACACGACACAAATTTAAAAAAAGATTAACTTGAACATACTTTTTTTGTATTTATTCATATTGTGTCACCAAAGTCGTGTTTAAAATTGTCACCCTTACTTTATCTTATAGTTCCTTTATTATTTTTCCATTTTATTCATCATACTTGTTTTTATGCGCACAATTATGTGTTCTTTTTCTAGAATATAATAAAGAGAACCCTCTAGTGCTTTTTTGTTTTTATCGAAGGATCACTCAAGATCATCAAGGAGGTGAGGGCATTTACAGATTTGTTGTTGAAGGAAGCTAAGGACTTGGCGGAGAAGGTTCCCTGTATTTTGAAGAAGGGAATCACTAAGGAGGAGGCTGATCCCATCATTGAAAAGCTTAAGAGTTGGGTGCCACTGTTTTATTGGAATGACAAAATGTTACTCTTGTTCTTTTGTTCCTGTTTAGTCCTAGTTGAAAGTAGGGGTGTTCGCGGTCTGGATTGGATCAATTTTGGAAGCAAAAATTATCTGATCCAATCCCTTCGGTTTGATCATGCAATCATCTATTCAGTTTAGATTTTTTTCCAAATCTGATCTGATCCAATACAATTTTTTTTGTTTGGATTAGATCGGTTTTTGATTTTTCAAAAATTTTAAAATTTGTTTCGTAATTATTGTGCAAATAACCTCTTTTGTATATATTGACTTTGCAATTTTTATTTTTATTTTGAAATACAACATCATTAGTAAACGATAATATAGTTTTTTTTTTTTGCAATGAGATATGAAGCTCTATACAGATGAAATATTGTTGATGAGATATGATTAGATTTTTTCTTGGATTTAGTTGATGGGTTAATGGGTCTTAAGTTTAGAAATTTTTGGGCTATGATTAGGGAAAGACCCAAGTAGCTTAGTTGATGGGTTAATGGCTATTAAGTTTAGAATTAATATATTGGATCGGTTTGGATTGGATCGATTTTCATTGACCAATGCAAAAACCGATCTAATCCAATTAAAATTTGTGTTTTTTTTATTCGGTTTTTGATTTTTCGATTTTCGATTTATTCGGTTATCGATTTTTCGGTTCGGTCACCGCGGTTTGAATCGATTGATGAACACCCCTAGTTGAAAATGTTTGTTTTGATTGAAGTTATAGGATAAGTGAAAGTTTGATACTCTTTTTATTATTGCTTTTTTGGGTTTATGGTATATATTAGTTTTATTATTGTTTAGAAAGTGGGAAGTTTCTCACATATATGATAGAAGTTGAGCATGCTCTTTGCTAATTGTGCGGAATGGAGATATTGTATTGCATGTTTGGCTGAACAAAAGCATGCGAGTCGCGAGATTTACCCATTCATATGGATTTTTTTGGTGAACTCCCATTCATATGGATTTAATTAGAATCAAAGAATCAAGCTGTCAGAGAGAAATCAAATACTATAATTAGGAGATTATTTGATGAGGATACAAGTTATCTAGATGAGTAACAATCAAGCAAAAATCATGAGAAGACCTCATCTGCAGTAAATAAGGAGTTAATTGACAAAGATACAAATTGTCAAGACATGTTATAATCAAGTTAAAATAAAGGAGTAGACTTTTGAAATATATTGTAACTAGGATAGGACCTATTTCCTCATAACTACCATATGAGTTTAACTCCATTTGTTCTACATAAAAATTGATGCATACCGATGTAAAAAACATAATTAATTTTACATCATACATTTTATACATGTTCAAAAGTCAACAACAATATTGTACCGATGAAGACCAAATAACTTAAAATTGAAAATTTTGCTACCCATTTAAATAACCACACATTTTTTTTTTGTAAACATTTAGTTGCATCTTTACAATTCACGGGCACTTAAATTTGGCTTAATTACACTAATGTTATAATTAGCTTCAATAGTTTAATTCAAACCTACCTCCATTTACTCTTTAGGCAAAATAATTAACAATAAATGACATAACTTCCAATAGTTAACAATAAGTTACTCTTTAGTCTTAATCTCCTTTTCTTTTTTTGAATACAATGGTAATTGCACACAACACCTACTACTACTCATTGTCCAACCCTTTCACAACTAGGTTAGACCCAGTGGCTTTTAATCTCCTTTTCTTATATTGTCAGAATGCATCTTCTTATTCTTTCATTCGATTCAGTCACCAAAATATGAAACTCATCAAAATACTAAATTTGAGCAAGGTCCAAAAGATGCAAACCTGGAAATCTCCATGTGATAATGATTTCAAATTATGTTGATTAACTAATCGAACTATAGTATTCTAGGAAAACATATCCATCCCTTTTTTTTTAACTTGACACAGAATATGTCTAGCCTTTACTTCAAATAATATATATATAACTCATTATCATATAAGTTCAATGTCAAATAGAAATCAATGCCCATTAAGATCCAACAAGAAAAAAACATAAGTTACTTACAATCTCATGTTGTTTCCTAGAAAAAAGTTTAGACCCCCTTGAAGTAGCGTTGTCTCCGCAGGCACTAGATATCCATGAGATGATTCAACACCATACTTTGAATGCTTTTCTTTAGGAGGCATGACTATTTTTTTTTCAAAAAATAAAATGAAATAAGATTAGTACCATGGCAATATAATGTGTTACAATATACAAATTGAGCTATACAAATACTAATTAAAAGTTAAAAGGAATGAACACTAAAAGTGAATTTTATTACTGTTGATGACCCAAAATAAATTGAGCTACTACATTACTCAAACATATTTTTGTCTCTCAAAAGTTGATTTTCAGCATGGCTTATAGTTTTGACTTCATTTGGAAATGAATTGCTTAATCCTTGCTATTGGTATGGCTAACTTTCACTTGTAACATCTTCTACATCTTCTCCCATATTATACAAGTCATTGGCAAGGCTCACATCAAAGACCGATTTAAATATATCGGATATAAGATGTCTCATCATGTTTAGAAATGAGAATATGCAATCTTGAAGGTACGCCGGTGCAACCTATCTTAAGAAAAAGACATATTTATATGAAAAAAATTGATTCAAACAAAGTAAAAGTCGAACATGAAAAAGGAAGGAAATTTATATCCCTAAGACTCTAACTAAACTTGCAATCTTACTACCTGCCCTTATTTTAAGAACATTTCACTTTATTTCTCTTAATGTGATGATGCACCATGAATAATTCAGCACTAAATCTCTATCTAAAAGAGGATCTCATGTAAAAGATGTAAGTTCTAACTTATACTGAAATGCGGAATATGATAGATCATGAATACCTCCCGCCATTGCTTTCCTTGTTGTTTTGAATGGTTGTTGTAACTCTGATGTGTAAAACTTTTATGAGCCTTCCAAACTCTTCTATGCAGCTCAGATGATGTGTAGCTCTGTAGTAGAGTGAGTTCAGGGACTCATGAAGCTGAAGATGCATCCTTTTATAGACTCCTCCATTATAGAGTATGTTCAAGTGTGCACTGAAGATGGACTCCATTGATGGCAAGCCAAAAAAAAAATTAGTTGATGATTGTAGACCAAAACCAAAACTTAGTTGATGATTGCAGACCAAAACCAAAAGCAGGTACTTCATTATGCAATCTATTATCATTAGCGGACAATGTAAGTGGACCACATAGGGTCACACCACTAATCACTAGCATTTTTACTAACAAGATAAATATAGATTTGATGTGGATGTCTAGATTGAATCTTAACCTGCCGAAAAAGCCAATTAGAGGAATCTATACAACTCTTTGTGCTAATTTAAGGGTTGGAAGATTGAAAACCTCACATGGGTCAAGCAATGTGTACGTGGTTGTATTAAAGCCTGGACTAAGTACTACACTATATATGTATGTTGCTTTGGCATTTAATCTTGCATAGTCTTCATTTTTCAAGTTTTTTTTGTTCCAAAAGGTTGCGTTGTGCAATGCTTTTTCCTCAAAGACTAGTTGTTGGAAAAGTCTGAACCTTCGATGACCTCAAGAGTTTGCGAAATCTGAGTGTACGAAAAAATCAATTTATACGAAAGGTGCAATGTATTAGATCTCCTATTTATGGCACTTGATCAAATTTCTAGTTGATATGCAAGAGAATGCAGAGAACCAAGCTGATGTCAACAAATTTCCTATGTTCTTGTCCTTTCTACCACAACCACAAGGATATTGGGGAAAGACTCAAGAAGGTGATGTTTGCAGTTACCATGTTGAATATTTGAGAACTTGTTGAACATTTTGATAGCGGTGCTTACTCTTTCGACTCATGCTGAACTCTTAGGACAAATGATTTGATTTTATGGGAACTTAATTATTTTTAGAAGCTTTTGACTATTCATCCGTATTATGATATAACATTTTTTAATCATAGAAATACTATTTATTGTTATGGTTATTGTTACAATGCCATGGGTTCTTGACCGACATTACATACTCAATCATTGGTTGAAAACTCATGCCACTGTGAAAACAACGCAATAATAAAATATATTTTTGTGCTTAAAAAAATGCTATATTATAGTAAGGATGAATAGCCAAGAGTTTCTAGAAACAATTAAGTTCCCATAAAACCCAATCATTGATCATATGAGTTTGGTAAGAGTCGAAGTAGTAAGCAACATCGTTAAAATCTTCAACAAGTTCTCGAATATTCAACATGATACCTACAAACATAACTAACATGATCTTATTGCATCTTGCTTTGATATCCATGTGACGATGGTAGAAACGGTAAGACCATTGTATTCTTATTGCCATTTCTTGGTTCTTTACATTTTCTTGCGGATCAAATAGGAATTTGATCAAGTATCATTAAAAAGAGATCCATATACCTCACCTTTGTGTAAATTGACTTTCTTGCCCACTCACTACTTTAGTAAATATTAAAGCTCTCAGGATGGTATAGATGTTTGTGAAATTTTTTCGCCAAATACTCGTCATCCTCATAGTTCATCTAACAAATACAACACCTGAAACAAGGCCACAAAAATTAGGAACCAAGGTATATCATGATTACAAATAAGGTTATAAGTAACACAATTAGCACAAAGAAATCACTGTTTATATATGGTTCACTGAAGGCAAATAGGCAATAATATCAATTGAAAGACCTTGCTCTCAGTTCCAAATACTTCATCCAATGTGAGTAGTTGGATAATATCTCATTCAGAAGCATATAGGTCATAAACCATAATAAATCTCAAACAAAAGTACATAATACATTGCAATATATTTAAAAAATCATACTACATAGAAGTATATTCTCTGAATAAAGTAGTTGGTTGTATGTTTGGATTAATGATGACAAAATCTACCTTAAACCTAAATTTCTTTTGCAAACACAAAAATTTTATAATATTCAACCAGGAAATAAAGATATTAAAAATTATAGACAAAACTTGAACAATGCATGTAAAGATACAATAGGAAATAATAAAATGAAGCACTAATTTCACAAATTGGTATATTTTGATTTCTTCAAAATCATTGAGACTCTAATTTTCTTAATAGATTTAGGGCTACAAAAATCAACCTTTTAATGATACAATACATAAATGATATATTACAAAAATATAATAAATCCATAATTCTAAACTCGTCAATTATAATTTACAATTGAGAGAAAATTAATATCAGAAACAAAATGTTATTATGAGATATACAAGGACGATGCTAGAAAGTTTTAATAGAACGGGAGAGAGTGAGAGATACCTCGGGTGTTATGTGGCAGCAACTCTTGAATTTAGGTATTGATACTTGTTGCCGACAAAAAATTTGGAAGATAAACTCAAAGTGCATGAGAAGAAGGATGTTCTTTTAGGGCTTGTAACTTTTGTGATAGAGAGAGAAATAGGGTTTACTTTTATATATATATAGAGAGAGAAATGGAGATTGGGCCTCAAACTTTCGGGGCTTGCTTCACTGAACACTGAAAACAAAAAACTAGTATATGAATAAAGGGAAAAAGTTGAAAAAAAAAAAATACAAAAAAAATGTCATTAGATCTTATACATTGTGCGACATATTTTGGAAATTGGCATCCATAAGTTGTCATAAATTACCTTATTTAATGACATTTTACTCTAACCGCCCCTAAATACATATATTTTTTTGTAGTTTTTCTTTAGTATTTTAATTTATCATAACCTTACTAAGATGTAGACTTTCATTAAAAAGAAAAATTTCCCACAATGCCACGTTTAAGTCCTGCTTGTAGAACTAATGCACTCCAGATTAAGAATATAGAAAACGCAAGAGTTTTGATGATAACAAACATAGTACAGAAAGAATACTTCAAAGCATTATCATACAACCTCTGGGAATCAGCTTGGATCTTTTGTAGCTTATTGATAAGGAAATCTTCTTTAGCCCAGATATGACTAAAAACATCTTTATTCCAATCTTTTAGGGGGGGGGACCAAATTAGACAAGGAAGATGAGACATTGACATTTCTATTCCAAGAATTATTAAGAGAATGAATGAAATCGTCATGATCTTGCAAAGCTGCCAAAAACCTAAATTAGGTTCTTCAGGATAAAGCAATAACAGAATAGGATTGTGATCTCAATTCAATCTAGGAAGAGTACGAGCCTTGGCTTCTCAAAGAAATAGTTCTCCAAGTCGCATTAGTACACACCTTGTCTAGTCTTTTAAAGACTCTCTCTAAATGAAGGTATTAGCACCTCTCCAAGTAAAATTAGAACCAGAGCAGCCAATGTTCATCACGTTGCAGTCATCAAGAACTTCAATGAAATTGATACATTTGGTCAAATTAACTGGAATACCCTTTTTTCTCCCTAGCATACATGATCTTATTGAACTCACCCATTAATATCCAGGGACTATTCAAATTACTGCTGATTCTCTGGAGCTCCTTCCAAAAATCCTGTCTAATGGGGCTGGTATACACCAAGTCAAAACAAAATTTACACCATTATTGCCGGTATAGTTAGCATGGATGTATTGGTTATATTTTTTGATAAGATTAATGGAAAATCGATCTTTATTCCAAAGTAACCAAATACCACTGTATAACCGAAAACATCTTCAATAAAAAAGGATTTGAATCCTAGTTGTTTAATTCTATGATTAGTAGTAGCACCACTGATTATTGGCTCTAGAATAGCAACCAAATCCACTTTATACTTTTTGGTAAAGTTCTTCATGGTAGATTTAAAAGGCTTTTTAGCCGCACCCCTGCAATTCCAAACTAGACAATCATCGATAGAGGTTGTTAATTCCGGGATTCAAGAGTACCTGGGGACTTATATCACAATCATTCTCCTTTTGCTCAATGATCATACCATCAGGTCAGTTTCAAAGCTTTTGTTACCAACATTTTCTTCTGGGGATTAGGACCTTGAGATTCCTTCTTCCTTTGAACAATCATCCAAGGTCCCACTACTTGATTAGAGGGAGTTTGACCAGGTTGATCATTTGGATTTTCCACCTCATCATTGGTTTCGATTGAAAGTTGTTTCTTAGCTAGCTCAGTACAACACTCAATGTTATGGCCATAACGACCACAATATAGGCAGATGAGGTACCCCTCATATTCTATTCCTTTTTTCTTGTCATCCAACATGTACTCACCTATCAAAGGTTTAGATAGATCTTAATCTACACACACTTTTGCGAAATGCCCTTTATCTCCAATAGATGTTGTTTTATCGATTTTAAGAACCTTTCCTATTGAACTATCAATGAAATTCAAAAAATTCTCGCAATGTACATGGAGGCGGTTCCAAGCAGTCAATCGGTGAATGCTTGCATGATCAAGGTTGAAGTTGGGTTCCTATCTTCGAACAGCCAGACAATGCCCCAAAATTACCCACAGACCGGCAGTAATTGCAAGGGTAAGGTCTTCCAAGTTCGCAAATTTCACTGAGTAGAATTGATTTCCCAAGTCAACAACTGTAATAGCTCCCGTCTTTGCCTAGAAAAATTCCACCTTTTTTTCAAAAAGTTAACTCCCATCCCCCCAAGAGTTTAACAATGAGGGCATTTTGCCAAGGCTTCCTCATCATTGCTTTAGCTTCTTTCGTGCATTTGATGTTAAAAGACTTATCTTCTACAATAATTTTTTGAAACCCCCAATTTGTGACTTCATCTTTCATCGAATCCAGAGGTTCATGATCCTCCTCCCTTATCCTAGAAGACCAAGGTGAGTTCTCCCTTGAAACACCATTTTCAGCTCCCATAGCTTGAACCCAAGATTTTGGTTTCCCCTCCGATAGTTCCTCTAAAGGAAATCCCAAGTTCGCTCCACGGTTAGCTATATCTGAATGAAACTCCTCGCCATCTTTAGAACGCTTTACACTCTTCCTGCTACCAAAGTTGGTATAGAATTTGTTGCCTTCCAGATCTTCCACGAGAAAAATGAAAAAAAAAAATCCACGTAGCCCTAGCAGAAAGAAGCAAAAAGGAACGCGTGTGTCAGATGCGCCTAACCCATCCTCTGTTTTTATGATGACTAGGATATTCTTTTACGTAAAAGAATGTGAATCGAACAACAGAACATAATATTAAAATACAAAGTGCTAGAAGGAGATGACACAAAAAACAAAAAAGCTAGAAGGTGAGAGTCCATAAGCTATATGAAAGATTGTTTACTGTTGTAATCTTAGGGAACAGATCCTATTTAATGCATTTGAAGAAAAATATAAACATAAAAATTTTACATCATCAGAACATGTGAAAATTTAATATGAGGGGATCCAAGGGGAACAGTGGCCAAAGTGCCACTGTTGGAAAAAAAAAACACAAAAATGTCACGCCAACAGTAAATTTTGCCAAAATGCCAGTGGCATATTTCGCTACACTATGTAGTGAAATATGTGTGCAAATAATTCACTACACGGTGTAGCGAAATATGCCGCGTAAGAATGCACAGAACCACAATATGCCACGTGTCAGACAGGGAGAATTTCGCTACACTGTGTAGCGAAATTCTCCCTGTCTGACACATGGCATTTTTGGTTCTGACGTGGCATATTTCGCTACACCGTGTAGCGAATTATTTGCACACATATTTCGCTACACAGTGTAGCGAAATATGCCACGTAACATTTTGGCAAAATTTACTGTTGACGTGACATTTTGATATTTTTTTTGCCAACAGTGGCACTTTGGCCACTGTTCCGATCCAAGGTGCATTCAAGAGGAATGATCTATACACCCAAATAAAATAATCTCTTACATTGTACCCAAAAAAATAAAATAATAATAATCCCTTACAAATTTTACACAACTTCATTTTACTCATTTTTTTCCCCGAGTCTCCAACCAATCCTTCCTCTTCCTGTAAGGATGGTTAACTACCAATTTTTTGTGATTCAAGTATTTTTTATTTTTTTTATTCCATGATATGGGTTAAATCAGATTCTAAGTATCCCTATGACTCGGCAAGGAAAGGGACTAATCCCAATTTGAACAATATATTAATTATTCGGCTCTTTAAAATTCGAATCCATATACTTTTTCCAATCTTATCTACAACTTTCATGCCTTTTTTCTACTTCAATTTTTTAAATTTATGCGAAATTATTGATACTCATTCACAAGATGGGCAATGCAAAGTTTCAAAAGGGAAGCATACGAAGTTTGAACTTGTTATGGACTCATAAGAAACCCATAATCTAGAAGGCCCGTTAAAAGTCAACATCAATGGAATATAATCCTTTATTGATGAACAACAAGACGATTGGACTTGTGCCCCTAAACAAGTTGCTAGAGGTTCAGAGCTTCGTTATTCACAGGTAAACTCTATAAATAGGAGGTAAAATCTATAAGTACAGATCTTTCTCTCTTACTGTTATGCTGTAACTGTGCTCATACTACCTCATTGGCAAAACGTCATTTCTATTGTGTACAGTAATAGTAATCTCAAAGATATCTCATCTTTAAATATCTAAGAGAGAACGCCAAATCCTATATAAACTTACTAGTCTTTGACTAGACATATCTTCTATCCAGATAGAAGATAACTATTTCAAGATAAAACATATGAGAGACAAAGAAAGTATACCCAAACTTTAAATATTTATAATAAAAATCTAAACATTGATTATAATCATTACATAGATTAGCAAAATGGGCAATAAATAATTAAAAAAAAAAATACTGCAGAATGACAACAGAGAATCTAACATAAGTTTGAAATTTTCACATCATGACATAATTCAAATAACAACAAAATAAGTTGATTCTACTGATTATTAGACCGTCCCCCAAGAGCCTAAATTTAGAAGAGAAGAACACATGAGATAAAGAATAGACAAAGTTTAAATATTTATATTATAATTTAACATTGATTACAATACATAGATTAGCAAGCTCGAGCAATCCAGTTTACAGTCTTAGCTATTTTGCTTCATGATAACAAAAAAGAAAGAAACATTTTCCCCCCTATGTCTTGCTAAATAAACTTCTCAATTTCCCTCTTTCCAATCGTTCATGTAGCTTTTTAGCTCCTGGAATGTCCATCTCTGTAAGTTTCTTCAGATAACCAATTGCTCCATATGAGATCATTAGCTTCTTACATTTCTTACTTGAAGAAAGTGATCCAAGGCAAGAAACTGCATATTTTTTTGCAGTGTTATGTGGACTTGGATCAAGCAACTGAACCAGGTTTGGCACACTTTTATCATCCTTCTTAACTTCCCTACAATTCTGAGACAGAATCATTAAGCTTGCAATTGCTTGTGCAGCAACCTCTCTAGCACTGTTTGATTTAGCCTCAAGCATCTTAACAAGGAGAGGGATGCATCCAGCCTCACCAACCATTTTCTTCATCTCTGTTGAGCCGCAAACCCGGCATAGCGCAGATGCCGCAGCTTGTTGAGCACCCAAGGATCCAGACTTTAGCACATGAACCAAACGGGGAAGGAAACCAAGAGAAACCAAAGTTTCCCAAGAAACTGATCCAACCAAATTCCTCAATGCTCCAACAGCAGATTCTTGAGGAAGTGGACCATCAAGATAAGCCAAAAGACTCCTAACACCACCTTCTGATATAACATTCCTCCTTAGATTCTCATTGCTTGCAGTGAGATTCTGCAAGCATTCTGCTGCATACTCTTTGGAACCTAACAAAATGCCACAGTTAAGCAAATTTGTCATAACCCTCACAATCCCTTCTTCAGCCAAAGCTTGTCTAACCTCAGGAACAGCTGATATATTCTTCAGAGTACAAGCAGCAGCAGCTTGTGACACAGAATCACCAGTTTGACAAAGCTCAACCAGTGGATGAACCCCACCATGTCCAACGATTGAACGCGCTGTTTCTGCTGACATTGACAACCTCTGAAGGGATATTGTTGCCTTCTCTTTACCCACAGCACTTCCTGATTCAACAAGCCTTATAAGAGGTGGCAGAACTCCTTCACAAACTAGCCAATTCTCGCAGCTACCGGATTCTGCAAGCGAGCATATAACAGTAACTGTCTTCTCCCTTATCCTTGGAGATGTAGCTGTAAGCAGTTGAACTAAAGCAGCAATGTTGCTCCGACTCATAACAGCCAAAACATTCTTTTCATCTTCTTTCATAACTTCAACAAGGTTGTCTAAAGCTTTGTGCTTTGCTTCCAGGTGACCGATCTGAAGGCGTGCCAGCAATTCCCTTATGTTGTTGTGTGTTGCAACATCCGATTCCACCACAGAACCACACAAAGCCAATGGCAAAGTAGCCTCACCAAGCACACCAGTCTTGATCAAAAGGCCACAATCCCTTAAGTTCAAATCCAGTTTCCCAGTTAATGCATCAAGATCACTTTGCATTTTAAGCTTACCCTCATACTTCTCCTTCATACACAACTCAGCCAACCCAATCGCTTCTCTGAGTGTGTTTGACACAGCTTGCAATTGCTCCTTGCAAAGAGCATTCTTTGAGAAGCATGGATGGCTTGACAAGTCTGATAAACATGATGGGATCTGTTCTAATTTCGAAATGATCATCTTCCATCTACCAGGAAACCCATTAACCTCTCTTGCCTTATCAAGTGCTAAAGGAACAAGTTCCTGTGCATGCAACAACCAATCTTCTGTGGAACGTGCATCAAGTGCAACCTCATCTCCACCATCCTCCACCATGATTTCGATTTGGTAGGAGCAGAATCAATAATCACCACCAGGAAAGCTGCTACAAATAGAATAGAAGAAAACCAATCCTTCAAAGAAATGACCAAGTTGCCAATTTGTAAAAAGAGAATGATATTAGCATAGAAAATTAAAAGGTTGTGGAGCAGTTGCAATCATATAAATCCGTACATTATAAATTAAAACTCCAACAGAAAATTCTGAGACACAAAAAAACAACAACACAGCTTCGAGAATCTTGTATATGATCACACAAAGCTTGTTTACTGACAGCATGACTCGACCAACAAAACTTAAGTACCTAAACATGCCCCACTAGTCTTTTTTCTTACTTTAGCTAGTGAACATTTAATGCCCTTGCTAAATTATAATCATAAGTTAAATTTTTTATAAATTAAAAAATTATTATAATTAAACTATGGTTGTTGATGAAAATGCTCTTAACGGCTAACAATGCCATGCCATAAAGAAGCCGTCGGCAGATATTTGTCATAAATCCAAAAGTACCCCTAAATATAAGGCCCAAAAGTATGTGGTACAAATGTAATATTGGCATCCTTTCTAGGGATATATTGGTCAGTAAGAAACAAATCTCCAACTTTACTTTTCAACCATGAAGCAGCTTGGTTCTGACTCATATCATATCCAACGGTCAAGGATTCTTCTAAGAGAGACTGAGGAAAGTGGAACCCTTAGCTGTGTTTTCCAATCTTTCTCCTCATAAATGGTGCTTACTGGTATGAGAAAAGGAGAGGCTTTCCTTTGAAGGGAAGACACATGTCTCTATCTACGGTTGTATACGCAAGTACGTAAAATGAATCATCACCAGAAAAAAAAAACAAAAATATGACGAAAATTCAAAAAATAATTATTATTTTTTTCAACATTATATACCTCAAATCAATTTGACTTCTCAATATTGAAAGAATTTATCATGTTATAAGCCATCAGATGATGCCCAAAACTCTCTTGTTTTCCACTGTTTCTGTAAAGCCCAAAAAACAATAGTAAGTTAGAGAATCCAAGTTCCATGATATCTACATACAAAAAGACAAAATCTAATATTCACACAAAAAAAAAAGGGAAACAAAAGAGCATAACTTTTCTTTACAGAAGTAGGAGATTGAAGCAAAGAACCCAAAAAAATAAAAAAATAAAAAAATAACTCATGGATCAACCAACCTTTAAGAATCAGTAACTGATCATAAGGCAACCAACCCACTTTGGCTTAAACTTCAAACTTCACACACACACTTTCAATCTCTGTCTCAGATACACACAAATGTAGTAACCCAGAATGCCTCAAAGGATCACCAACAAACAACCCAAGACTTTACTTTAACAACTCTCAACAATATCAAGTCTTGCAATGCTTACAGAATCAGCAATCAAGACACACCCTTGTATTCAGCAAAACCGTGTCTTTCTTGTTCAAAAGACATCAAGACAACGACCCGGAAACAGTTTTCTCAAAATCAGAAACACCCAGAAACAGTTTCTGCTTCATAATTGAGAAACAGACATAAAACGCTTTAAAAATGTCATTTTTTTTTAAGTACCAAAAAAAAAAAACACTGAAGAAATCAGAAGAATCTTCTGCCTAGATATCAACGGTGATGATCAAGTTTGACAAAACAAAAATAGTAAAATAAAAGTGCAATATATAACATTAACGGTTTCACTTCACATTGACAATTCAAAAATCAAACTTTGAACCATTTTCTCTCTCTCTCCATTATCACTCTCTCTAGAAATGGAAGATAAGTATGTCAGTCTCGCTGTCTCAAGATTCTCTCTGTAAAAGGCATTATTTTACTCTGTCAATAGAGAAGGAAAGCTTATAATTCTAGCAACTTGGTTTAAAGGTCGAGCAGGTCTCCTGATCCAACGGCCAAGATTCATCTCAGGACAGACAATGCCACCGTTGGGATTGGGTAAATATTGATCGTGCAGTAAATCCTAAATTTTTAATCATTGTTAATATAAAGGATAAATTATTTCATCTATTTTTTTTCTTTTCTTGATTACTTTACCTATCATTTATCTCTTACAATAAGATTTTATTCTAACTGTTTTGGTAACTGATAAATAAAATAGTTATTAAAAAAACGGATAGAATAATGTATCCTTAACATTAGACATAATAATTTTTTAATATAATTTACGAGAAAAATATTTCTTCAGTCATTGGATATAAAAGTTATTTTTAGTGAACTTAAAACGATATCGTTTTGGATTATAAGAGTAAAAAATTATAATGATAAAACCTAATATAACCTTGCAATATATTAGAATTACAAAATATCTTAATTTTCGCCACAAAACAACGTCGTTTTGGGCTCATCGGATATAACTTATCTTCATTGATCGGAGAAATTCTTTATTCATAATTTAAATTTATAATTCATGAGAAAATATTAACAAATGCTTTTAAGAAATTAATTGAAGGGTTTAACATTTCTCATGATTTAATAGATAAATTTATTTTTTATACATATATAAAATATGTAAGATTCATATGAGAAAAAAAAAAAAAAACATGAATTTATGTGTGTAAGAAATAAATTTATTTCTGATACAAGAAACATTAAACTCTTAATTGAGATGATAAAAATAAAAATTAATAAATAAAAAAAATATTTATTATATAAAAAACACATGAAATTCTTAATCATCACATTTATATTTTAACATTCTAAAAATTAACGACTCAGTAGTTAAATTTGTGAAGCCGCAATTTGGAAATTTATTTACCTTAAAAGAGGAGATGACATGGATGATCTGCCACGTGTGAATTCGGGATTGGTCCTTACACTTAGATGTTGTACGCACGCTCGGCAATGTCAAACGTGTGAAGTGGACAGAGTGTGGGAAGTGGGAACACATGTTTGACCTTGCTGTTGGGGCATGAAATTTTCGAATATGATGCCAACTTATTATATTTAAAAGTTGGCATTTTTAAAGCTGAGAGAGAGAAAGAGACCGCCTGCTAGTGAAGCAGAGCATGTGATGGGGGTGAAACTGATGACTTGACTTGGATTGTTTAATGTAATTCAATTGGGTTTATCATCTATCATTTAACATGATCATAAAAATTTTTCTACACACACAACATTTTGTGGGACCCGCAGCAAAAAAAAATAAAAACTTTGGCACGCAAAACGAATCTCTATAACATAACACAATTATTTTTCCTACAACATAACTCTTATAAAACCCAATTCAATTATGAGTTCGATTTTCAATTATTGTCTATTTAATTCTCTTTATTTTCATTCAAATGTGAATATAATTTCACACACCATTGCTGTGACTGTCATTACTTTATACGGTCATTAAAGAATACAGGGTACCATTAAGATACTTTAAATTTATATTATGAATGCTAATAATTATATGCTGCCACATTTATATACTTGATTCAATATTAAATACGAATAAAATTGCATTAGTTAATAAAATATGTTTACACATGTCAATTATTGAATAAAGTACATATGTTAAATAATACTCGCATAAAACTTCTCCTTCGCGTTACCATATCTTATGAAGTATCAATACTTTAAAATTTCTGACGTGTCATGTCTGACACTTTTCGACACTCATCGATACTTTGACATTTTCCGACACTTCAATATGCGTTGTAAAGACTAAAAAAAGTTCAAAGATTACGTTGCGTTACATTTTGAGTTTCAACTATTAGATTCGTTGGATTACGATTACTATTTTATTGAGTTTAATATAAACATTTGGGATATCTTATGTTTCTTTGCAAAATTGTTGGTATTATAAATTTAGCTTTATTTTTTTGTTAAATTATTGAATATTAAATATAATATACATTATATAAATTAAAAATATTATATAATATCAAAATGTGTCCTAACATGTCAAAATTTTATATTTTTTAGAATTAACATGTCGGATGTCGTGTCATATCATATCCCGTATGTCGTATCCAGTGGCGGAGCCACTTAGTGGCTGGGCCCGCCACTTAGTAGCTGGGGGTAGCCTCGGCCCGGGCTAAATTTTAATAAATTGTACTTATTATATATATAATCATATATGTAAAGAACCTTGCGATACACCACCCCAAAAGCTAGCTCAAAGGATGAGAGTGTTCAATGCCTTATAAAGGCTACATTAGTTGCCCACACAATCAATGTGAGACTATATATCTCAACACGCCCTTTCAAGAGCCCTTTGGGCTAGAAGCGTGGAATTGAAAGGCCCAATTTTTGGTTTACCTTTTTGTGTTTTTTTTATTTTAATTCCACTTGAAAGTGGAGAGCCGTGAGAATCGAACTTGTGACCCTACAGTCACTCAAGCTCTGATACCATGTAAAGAACCTTGAGATACATCACCCCAAAAGCTAACTCAAAGGGTGGGACTCAAAGGGTGGGAGTGTCCAAGGCCTTATAAAGGCCCCGTTAGTTGCCCACACAATTAATGTGAGACTATATATCTTAATAATATAATTAATTATAATTTGACCCGGGCTAAAATTTGTATTTGACCCTATCTAAAAATTAAAATTAACTTGAAAGAGTAAAGTTTGAAGCCAAACTCAATCGTCATGTCCTTGGAGAATTAATGACATATATCGAACACCTTCCCAAAGCGGAAGTTTAGCTCTTATGCATTATATGTATTTACATGCTTCGAAGAATTTATCTTTAGCACAACATATCGTAATGCTATATTTAGCTTTTCACCTCTATAAGAAGCACTTCACTAGTTTGTGCATCAAATAGATCCAACACAGAAGCAACTCTTCGATTATATATCACACAATATGCTTTCAATTTCACTTTCCACCATTATATTGAGAGCCATGAACATTGTATGGAGAACCACAATCATATGGAGACACATTGAATGTTGGGGGCACAACCACAGAAGAAGAGACCTTAAACCTCTTGCTCCTTGAACCCTCATCATTTCCATCACAAGCACAAATATCTGAGCTATTCACCCACCCCATCAATTGGTCCAAAGACCCTTGTTCACCACCAACCATAAACTCCCTTACATCCGACCCATTGGAACCGGATTCAAACCCGGGTTGCCGGAACCCGACCCAATCATAGCTACAATTAGAAACACTAGATTTGTCCCAAGAAGCATGTTCATTTTCCAAAGGGGGCACAACAATGCTAGGCTGCACCACTTTCTCAATGTTCTTAACATCCATTGGAGAGATTTGGTGTTGATGGAATATGCTAGCAAAGGTAAAATTGTCACTCACCCTACTTTTTGATGATTTGCAATCACTGGACCTGCCCATGATGCTCTGAAGATTCTTACTCAACTTGGCTCTCAATGAAGCAAAAGTGCTTAATCCATTCTTTCCACCATCATTGGAATAAGCTTCTGAAGATTTTTCCATGGTTTGATTATTCTCTGATGATGCAAAGTTTGTTCTTGCATTTTCACCACGTAGAGCTCTAGCTGCTTCATCATAAGCCCTGGCAGCTTCTTCTGGTGTGTCATAGGTTCCAAGCCATAACCTTACATGTTGAGATGAGTCTTTGATCTCTGCCACCCACCTTCCTGAAGGTCTTTGCCTCACCCCAATGAACCTTTTGATGGTGTTCAGTTTGTTCAATTGAATCTTATTATTGTTTGTAGCAGAAGCATATTTCCTAGCTTCAGTTTCTGCCATAACTACTATATAAAACAAATGAGGATTGTAATTATGATTGGGATTGAGAAAATAGTATTGGTTTAGATCGATGACACTGATTTTGCAATATTTATATGTGTAAGGCTTTGGAAGTGAGTGAGTGAAGGTTGGTATATACCCATCTCCACTATTATTTTTGTACTTTTGTTTTGTGGGTGATGTAATGAAGCTTGGCTTTTGCATAACACACTGGTTTGGCTTGTGAAAACTCCACAATTTTGTACTGCACAATTCATCATTTATATAGCTGATAGAGGTTCGTACAGTTCAAGTTATCATGCTGGCTTTTTGACCCTTATAACCCTTTATTATTAATTAATTACCGATTTGACCTTGATTATAAACTATTTCAAAAATTTAACCCCCTCAGAAAACATAACACCAATCTGCCCCTGTTTGACCGTTGACCACCAAGCCTACCCGGGTACACCCCTCTGTACCCGGGTATTTTTTGAAAATTTTTGTCTACCCGGGTAGGGAGGAATGTACCCGGGTATTGTTCTTCGTACCTGAAAAATTGCTTGAATTATTTACCCGGGTAGAGAGGGGTGTACCCGGGTAAATCTTCGACCACCCATTTGGTATTTTTTCTCTCTTTTTTACAGCTAATGAGATAGATCAGTATTATCAAGTTAAGCATGCCTAACCAATTTGAAGAGCTTTTAGCTTTGAGAATGGATTTGGAATTTCCATACATCAACACTGTACTGCTCATCAAAGCGGTCCCTGTTCGTATCGATTATGATGGGGTCTACTTTTATGTACGTCAAAATCGCGCTCCTATATATAAATGTGGTACCGGGTCTATTGGGGAGAGTGAGACGGAAAGAAAATAAAGACAGGGTTCATGGTACAGAAATTTAGTGTGAGCATGTAGCTTTTCATTTTACTGGTAAATGACGAATTATCACGTTCAGGGAAGACATGCATGGGACAAGGTTTGTGGTTGTGGATTTATACTGTTAACTGAGAATTCTCTTTCTGAAATAATCATTGAAAAATATTTGTGTGCTTTACAGACCCAAAAAAGTTGCAGAGGCAGAGCACGTGATAGTCGGTGCCTCCATATTCAAAGCTTGGAGAAGAAGAGTGCATGAGAGATCCAAAGAGTAATCATACCGGGTGGTTGAAGATTTACCCGGGTACACCCCTCTCTACCCGGGTAAATAATTCAAGCAATTTCTCAGGTGCGAAGAACAATACCCGGGTACACGCCTCCCTACCCGGGTAGATAAAAATTTTCAAAAAATACCCGGGTACAGAGGGGTACCCGGGTAGGCTTGGTGGTCAACGGTCAAACAGGGGCAGATTGGTGTTATGTTTTTTGAGGGGGTTAAATTTTTGAAATAGTTTATAATCAAGGTCAAATCGGTAATTAATTAATAATAAAGGGTTATAAGGATAAAAAAGCCTTATCATGCTTGTTGATGATTAATATACGGGAAAAATAAGTATTATGTTGTAGGATAATCTTCTTGTCATGCTATAGAGACAATAAGTGTGAGGTCTATCATGTTTAAAATAAAATAAAATAAAAAATGCAGCACAAACATCAATGTATGTGTAGACAAATGCAAAACTCTTAATATATATGACCGAGTCAACCTGTTTTTTTTTTGGCATTGATATAGGTTAACGTGATCAATATTTATTAAAATCCTTATTAAACCAAGTTGAACTTGCCACAAAATCATCCAAATTGTGCCTTTGTAATTTTGCAAAACATTAATATAATTAGCTTCATTAAAAAAATTTATGACAATTTTAATTTGATATTACGATTCATTGAACAATTATATAAAAAGTTATAAAAATAAAACTATTAATTTCTAGTGGTTGTATAGTACCGTTATACTTTTCTATGATAATTTATTATTTTCTGCTAATAACTTTTGAAAAAAATTGGATCAGAAACTTAATTTTAAAATAGTGTTGAAAAAATATACCAATAGATAGTAGTAAAATACGTGTGAGATTTCTAAAAGGCAAATGATAAATGTCGCAAAACCAATTTCGAAAAATACATAGCAAAGAATTTACTTTGTTTATTATTTTAATATTTTATAAGTTTGTTTTTTACTTATATTTTAACTGAAAATAAAATATTGTGCCACCTCCTCGTTCATGATAAGGAACATAGCTCTATCAAAAACAAAAATAAAAAAATGGGTCAATGTATGTGGGATTAAAAATATAATGTGAAAATTTTATTTTAAAGGCAACATGGCAAATATTATATTTTACAACTACAAGTTTACATTAGTATATCCTTTTATGTGTTAGTTAATATGATCATGATGATCCTAACCATTCAAGAGTAAATCAATGGTGATGATCTTATCACTTTTATTTTAATATTTTTTTCTCTTATTTCTCATCATTACAAAAAAATTGATTCAATTAATTGGATGGAGTTGAAATTTCATAACAGGTATTGTGTTTGATTAATGTTAATTAATTTCACACACATATATATATATATGGAATTTATTATTCTTATCTTACGTAAGAAAAATTAATCTCTTACACACACAAATTTAAGATGGATCTCACTTTACTTTTTCTCTATCTTTCCTTGAAAGTGGACCCCACTTATAAAAATGAGTCAGCAGGAGATAATTATTATCTCTCGTTTTCTATACAATGTCTCATATTACTAAAAAATTTGAGCCCTTAGATATATATGGGATCAACGAACAAGATTGAGAGTGTAACTTACACTAATGTAAAATAATCATGATTATATATATATATATATATATATATATATATATATATATATATATATATATATATATATAGAGGTAGATTCTTTTTACACCAGTGTAAGACTAACAAATCTTACACTACTTTTCAATCCTTGATGGATGAAAATCATCGGTTGGTATTTGTAGTGTAATTAATGATTAGTTATATTAATTAATCATCGGTTGAGATGTGGTGTAAGACTTATTAGTCTTACATTGATATAAAATGATCCTGATCTATATATATATATATATATATATATGAAAAATGATATTCTTACTACCAAAATTTTTTACTACCTATGTAATCACTATTGGATCATCATTTTCTCTCTCTTTAAATTTTTTTTAGCATTCTCTCTCTTTAATCCAATGATAATTAGATTGATAGTAAATTAGTAGTGAAAAATTTTGATAGTAAAAATATCATTTTCTATATATATATATATAGAGGATAAACAATATATATAGAGAGGATAAACAACTTCTACTCGGAGAAGTTGTTTTTTTCATGGAGAGAGAGTTTTTCGGTGGGGTCCAATGGTTGTTTTGCAACAAACAAAACAAAAAGCAAATCATATATTTCAATGCTTGTGGGATGTGAGTGCTTAATCAAAAAATCTTCTCGTGATAAAGGAGAAGTAATCTTCTCGTGATAAAGGAGAAGTTGTTTATCCACATATATATATATATATATAAGTTATATTTATTTTATTTTGCATGAGAAAAATAATTTTTTTAGATATACAAAAGAGGGGTGAATTTCATTTTTCTTTTTTTTTTCTCTCTCCTCTTACCTATGAGTTTCACTTATAATTTTATTTCTGTGACATAAGATAACCATTTTTCTACAATATAAGAAAATTATATGAACAAGCGTAAAATGCATAGAGAAACCGACAGGAGAAGGGCGGTTCAAGTTTGTCAGCTTGGCAAGTGAAGAACAGAATGGCATGACCTCGCAACATTAAACAAAATTATATGCAATAAAAACAATAAAAAAAGTTTAAGAAATTTAAAAATTCAGAAGTTGCAGTGACGTATTGGAACTTCACAGTTGTCGATCGTAATTAGAATGATTTGTGGGCCCCGCTTATCCGTGCTCATGTCCTTTCTTTTGTATGCATTTACCATATCAAAATTTTATTATTATGATACATCGTATGCAGATATAGTTAGGGAATATTGTAAACTTGTTGAGTTTAGAGAGTTAAATCATTGTGATGGTTATTTTTTTTGTCTTAATATGAGTGACGTGGAACATTTGAATTAGGAGTAATCACTTCAAATGATATCTCAAGATGCCAAAGAGAGTAGTTTGTCCAGTATTATTGTGAATTTTATGATAAGCATCACCCATTGTATGTTTAAATATGCATCTAAATATTTAAGGGCTTTGGCGAAAGGAATCTGATGAGCTGAATAACTGTTTGTGTGGAACACTACATGATCCCCAATATAGTTTATTGATCACTGCATGAATCAAAAGAAAACATAAAGGGAAAGTTTTGTTGAACATTAATCACAAATTGAAAAAATAAAAAATTATTAGCATTAGAATAATGAAAGTAACAACAAATTAAAAGAATACAGTCCTCCAAAAAAAAATAATAATAATTGTGCCAACATTGGTTTGTATGAGTAGTTAAGGATCTGTTCCCGGACTTCGTCTCTTTGAGTGTGTGTTCAAATCCTACTAAAATCACTAAAAAGTAAGTATTTTAAGATAATTTTCTAGATAAGAAAACTCCAAAACATATTTTAGTTTAATTTTTATTTTGAAAGTAATTATTATTATATTTAACTTTCTATTTTATTACTTTTTCTTACTTATATCAAATATTGAATTATTTTATCATTTAATCTGTGTATTATGAATTTTATTATCTTGCAATTGTTTAAAAGAGAAAAAAAATAAAATAACCAAGTCCAAGCGTACCAAAAGCTTAGCCCCAAACGAGCCCAATCCAACAAAACAAAGATGAACTTCAACCCACTTCTCGAAATAAATATCAAAGACAAACATGCTTTTCATTATATATATATGGGAAATAGATGTATCATGTTGTAGAAATTTAGTTGTGTCATGTTATAGACACAACCAATGTGGACCCTACCATTTTAAAATAAAAAGAAAAGAAAAGAAAGTGGTGGGTCCACATTGATTGTGTCTATAGCATGACACAACCAATTTTCTACAACATGATACATCTATTTTCCTATATATATATA